ACCCTGATAGAATGCTGGACATGCCTCATGGATAAGAACTTGAGTTTCTCCTGCCCTAACGGCTGCATCAGGTAAAGATGTCAATGGCTATGTCGTCTGCTCGAATGTCCTGAAGTCTTGGATAATGGCATTACAGATTGTCCAGTAAATAATTGGATGTGCAAGTACACAGACTGTCTTGAGTCTCTTCATGTAAGAGGACATATGAAAATAGGGTCAGGTTATCTGTATATGTAGACACATCTGATGGGATAAGCCACAGTGCTTACCCCGTCTCATCAACTCTGGCTGATTTTATCTGTGCCTGGACACAAAGTCTGAGACGTGTGGAGGTACAGTGTATGTTGAACTTGAATTTAGCCACTGTTGTTGGCCTCTTTTGGTAGCAAATATTGCTTCTTGGGTGTGTCCCAGAGTGTTGAAAAATACAAGATTGCAGGAAGTAATATCATACAATTCAGTGTTGGTACATGCATAATCAAAACTGTTATAACAGACAGGTATACTGAACAAACATGTACCTCTTGGCTCCTGAATTTTCTGTGTACATTTACTGAACATGGAAACGTTGCTTTACGTAAAAGAAACATCTAAAGGACTGATGATAATGACTTAAGGACACTTCTACTTTCAGAGGGGCTACTGTCAGCACGTGTCATGATCTGTATCGTTCATAGGCACATGTATAATGGGTGAATGGGTGGCTGTGTAGACCAGCCACTGAGTACCCGGAGGCAGTACGGGCAACGCTGATGTGGAAACTCTTGCTGGTTATCGCTACAAAGGTAAAGATTTTTACCCTGTAAAAAAATTATAGTGGAAAGTACATATGCGGGCAGATTATGTTTTGCCACTAAACTTAAGGAAATCTTCATTACATAGTTTTTGTTTGCTTTCAATTGACGGTTCCCGACACATCTTTTAAAGCTTCATGTTAGAAAAGGATACTACCATGACCATACAGCATTTTTGAGAGATGACTTAAAAGTACCCTGAAGGTGAGATATGGATGATAATACCTTGAAGAAAATCCACATACATGTATTTCAGTGTTACTTCTTTTCAACTTGATTTCTTCGTTGGAAATGTTTGCCCCAAATCCTCATTCCGAAAAGATTGTGAGGCAGGTTGCTCCCCATATGAATGGGGAGTGGATTTGTGGGTAACCGGTTATCGCTTCAGGGAATTTGGCATGAATGCTGTCATATTGTTACATTGTGTTCATTATCGTGACGCTGCTCTGTATTATTCAAATGACTCTCAGTCAAAAACTACATTAGCTGTATATTTTTTAAGTCAATATTTGTGGCAGAAATCATATGATTATAATTACAATTAAAATTATATATGTGGACAAGGATTCTGAAATTCAGAGAAACAAGTGTACATGTAAGGATCAAACTTAAGAAATGATTAACACACAAAAATAACATTGTAATGGTTGACTGTGAACTTTGCAACAGCTTTTCATCAAATCTTTAAAAAATACTAGAACAAGTATATATGCACAGGTTGAAAGTTGCATTGGTAAGTCATTGCATATTAATATTTAATTGTCATGGGCTGTAAAAAGTGGTTGGAAGATTATTCAGGTTCATTGCACCTTTGCTTTTATTTGGTCTGTGACATGCAATCCATGACAAGAAGCTTATTTGAATTTGTTTTTTTGGGACAGAAACTCACCCGCGACTGTGTCTTTCACAGACTGCAACGGACTCCATGAGCAAGTCTCTTCCAGGGCAGCTCCTTGAAAGAACTGATCATCAGTTACATGTACAAGGGTATGATAAGGATAATGCTTGAAGTCCAAGTGAATCATATCAAATAATGCTTGGATAGAACACAGTTGTACTGGGTTTGTGAGAGGTTTTGGGAACTAGGTGATTTACTTTTACTGTATAGATTGGTTATTTCCACTTTTCACTTAAAATCGAGCACCCGAAAAGTCACAAGTATTACCTGTGATTTATTCAGTAGAAAAGAGCCTGCATTTGGCACACTCAGAGAGGCTTTCTTGAATATTTAAATCCAGTAACAATCAAAACTCAGTGTCCACATAATTATGCACGCACAGAACACTAAAGACAAGTCCTTGGGCTCAGCAATGGTGTTCCATATTGTGCAGATTTTCTGCAGGGGAAGTGGTTGGATGTCAAAGGATGAATTAGAATACTGAAGTTTTTATTATTATAGGAAACCAATCCCTTTTCCAGAATACTACGTTATTTTTTATCATGGGAGATGGGCTGGTTCT